AGACAAAGCATAAATGAAGTCTTTAAAACAGCACTATATTGTGGGGAAATGTTGCCTGACCTAATTCTGACTGTCCAAAGATTACAGAAAACAAAAAAAAGAGAGAGACCTTAATATCCTGTCCTACCTCTTGGTTTAGGTCATGCGGCCTGTTCTGTCATATCGCCTCAGGTATGGACAAAGGAGGGTGGGGCACGCAGGGAAGGACAAACTGAACAATGCTGAGATAGAGGGAAGGAGAGGAATCGGCTCTGGGGAAAAGGGTCCCACTAGTACATCGGCTCCCAAGAAGCCAGGTTCAACAATAATGCAAATGTTGGGGAGAACACTTCAGAATGGACAACTTTCTATCACTTCTCCTATCGTCCCATTTTCTGAAATTTTCACAAATATTAAAAGATACTCCAAAAATGTTTTTTTAAATTTCATTTTTGCCATAGAGTCCAAGAAATAACGAGAGCAATGGGTGAAAGTGAAAGAATCACCTTTCTACCTGAGAGCTGGCTTGTGACAAAATATTAGGAAAACAACCATGAGAAGGAACGTTGGCCCCTTAATGTGGTTAGCAATGGTTGTGAAATTCAAGATTTTCCAGAATGAGAGAGAAAGACTGCAATCAGAAATGGCATGCTGATTATTTTATTAGAACATCGATGATGCAGATAGGACTGCATTGTTCCAATGGGGAGATTTTCTGAAGGACGTCACCTTCTCATTCATTCTCTGAAAGACAAAGAAACAAGCAAGAATGTTACAGGGAAGACCTGGCAGACAGGGCAAGATGCAGCCAATCCCTTGCTGGCATCACTGAAGTGAGGGAAGCGAGACACAGACTTCTCTCCCTCTGCTCTTCTCCTTCCCCTTTCCTTCCCAATTTCGGCTTGTCCTTTCTTGTTAAACAACCCACAACACAATGTGCTGTAAATTTTTCCTTCTAAAATGAAGAAATAAAGATGATTCCTAAGCTGTGTGTCTTTCAGTTGCGACAGAAAGTGATCAAAGGTAGATTGACAAAGGGGATCGCTGCAACATGGAATTCCAGCAATGGAATTTCAACTGATCAAAGTGAAAACGGATGGGCTTGGGTTGATGCAAATTATGCTGGAAATCCAAAATGGAATAGTACACAATTTTTGTAATATGTCAAGAAGAAAGCAAGAG